TACGCCTAATGGCAAACATTTAAATACTTTATGCTTCCAATTTAAAAGATCACTGTAAAACTTTTTGCAAACCACATTTGGTGCCCAGGAAACATTAGAAATAACTGGTTGGTTGAAATAACTTTCATAAGCACACCTGAATTCTTCGGTAAAATATCCATGTTTTGTCATTTTTGGAGTGAAATGGCCACAGACGTAACAAAAGTTATTAATATTACATTCCATTTCTATTAAAAAAATTGCACTTTTTATTTAGAATAAAATTAACTTCAGTGAAACTTTCGCGATATTTTAGACTAGCGTCGATGCTTTTCAAAAATCTACTAAAATTCATCGCATTGCTTTTCTCTGACTTTGCTCCAGTTGTTATAAAAAGCAACTTAAAACAAAAACCGTTAGAATTCAATACATACTGCTTAATTGAAAGGCATTAACGACTGTGATATTCACTTATCTCATTGATGCTATGGGCAATGTTGATGCCCTTGTCAATTCCCCAGCAACTGTAGGTAGTGTACCCACCAAATGATGTTGTTTTTGTTTATATTGAAACAAATGTAAAGTCATGTGTTTGAACAATGAACAAGAGCAAGTAAATAAACAATAACGGGACTAAATACTGGCGACGTTTGTTAACCCATTACAATACGGTAATTTGACAAAATATATGTAAATTACATAAAATAACACGCGAAGAAAAAATTATTTTTTAAAAAATCGATAACTCGATAACTAAGACAGTTATCGGAAAAAAATATATAATTTTTTCGTCTTATTTTTAGAAGATTTACAAATAAAACTCATCAAATAGAGACTTATTCTAAGTCATTCTCGAGCCCCTATTTTGGACCCCAGGGGTCTCATAGGTCCGACCGCCAAAAAAGTTTTGGTTTTCTGAAATTCCCATATTTTAACCGTTTTTAGGTTTTTTTTCTAAGGCCCGCCCAAGTAATGCATTTTTGCCTAAATATTTTTATTCTCACTAATATTGAAAAAAAAGGTCAAAAATATCTCAACTTCAAGAGGCCATAGAAAGGAAATTCGAACTAACTTTGCAAAATCCGTTGGCTGTTTTGTTTATCCAGTGGTCTACTTTCATTCCGCGTTGGAATTATTGAGGCTGATTTTTCTTACTGCACAGTGTTATCAATCTATATATTCTCAATATGAACTTACATTCCTCATTATCAATTTATATATTCTCAACATGAATTTATATTTCCCATTATCAGTTTTTATTTTCTTATTATGATTTTATATTTCTCATTATCAATTATATATTCTCAATATAAATTTACATTTCTCATTATGAAGTTATACTTTCTCAATATGAATTTACGCTTCTCATTCTCAATTTGGGATTTCCCAATATGAATTTATATTTTCTCATTATGACTACGACTGCCTCAACACCCTAAACGGTATGGGAAGCAAGAAAACAGTATTACTGGGCTGGGTGCCGGGGCACGAGGGCCATGACGGCAATGAACAGGCGGACCGCCTAGCAAAACACGGAGCTACCACACTTTTCCATGGCCCGGAACCCTTTTGCGGACTCACCAAAGCCCACTTAAGGGAAGTCATAAACAAATGGGTCGACAAAAAATTCGATAGGCACTGGAAAGACAAGCTGTCCATCACAAGAAGCTTCAAAAATGCTCATAAATCTAGGCAGGGAGGACCTTCGAGCTCTCACTGGGTACTTCACGGGACATTGTTCCCTGTGTTATCACCTCAGTAAAATGAATCTTTCAGACACGAGCGTCTGTCGCTTCTGTGAGATGGGCGAAGAAACGCCAGAACGCATCCTTTGTGAATGTGTTGCTCTCGCTAGACGCAGACTCGCTCACCTAGGTGGTACAACACTTAATCCATTCGAAATATGGAACAAAAAGCCCACCGAAGTGCTAGCTTATATTAAAAGCCTTCACGTATGGGGTAAAGGGTCACGCACAGTAGACCACCCTAGAGGTCGCAGTGCTCAAGGCTCATAATAATAAAAAGGTCCGTGTATTCTTCAGAAAAGATGATATTTAATGAAGACTTGGGTGCTCTTGATGATGTGGAGCAATCCAAATTCGATTTTATTTTTGGTTTTTGTAGCGTAAATGTTGGATCGACAACATCGTCGTCCGCAGAGAAATCGCTAGCATTTTCATCCGAAATCATTTTTGGCGAGAATTTCGCTTAAGACTAATACACAATTCATAAAATAACAAGCGGTCAATATGCTTATAATATACTTACATACCTATGTCTATATGGAAGATCTTCTTCAATGTGTCCTCTACAAAATTCTTTCTAGAAGTATTAATGAATAGCAAAGACAGTTGACATTGAAAATGCTTATGTGAAATCATTTCTAAACTACAGTACAAGTATTTACTCGTACAGTGAATTTGGTTTCAGTTAATTAATACTAATTTATAAAAATTTGCTTGCCAAACACAGTTTCATCTATTTGGGAAAGTAATTAAAATAATCATATAATTAGAAATAATCAAATAATTGAAGATAATCAAATAATTAAAAACAATCAAAAAATTAGAAATAATCAAACAATTAAAAATAATCAAATAATTAAAAAAAAACAAAAAGATTAACTATGATTATTTCTAATTATTTGAATATTTTTGTTTATTTTTTTAATGGCGATTAATCATGATTATTTTTTATAAGTATAATTAATAATTAATTATTACTGGCTGGGTTATGTATGAAAATTAAAATAATCATTAAAAACAAAAAATGCAAAAAAATTAATGATTACTAATCATAATGGAAATTTAACAGCTCTCTTTTAAAGTTCATTCTTTCTCACATTACTAAATTTTTTTTTGTAGATAGGCTCCTCTGACCCTCATGGCCGCATATGTATACATATCTTCCCAACAACTACGCACATTTTTCCGTCCTCATTTCTCCCTCTCTCACTCACACTTCACAATCGAATGCCGCTTTTGCGTAGAAATCAAAAATTAAGAGACTTCTGTGTCATGCTCTTTTTAACGTAAACGCTCACAAACAAGGCTCATTTAACGGATTCCTTATGGTAAAACTCTCACTTCTTACTATGCGTTGCTAAGTATACATAACTGAGCCTTTACTCATTATTAAACTGGAAATGAGCTCGTGGCCACATTCCTCAATTGTGGCAAAATATACTTTGAATATATGAGCAAACTAATATTTTTTAGTCCTTTTTGCATTGCGTTGGTACAACCAGCTTTCCGAAGCGGTCCAGCCGCAAATGCGCGTGATTTGGCCAGATACAGCCTCTTTCGCCCCCGCTTCTCTTAGGTTTCGCTAGAGAAATAGAGGAAGAAAAGGTATTGAGACGATTTTTGAGTTGCACAATGATCGTAGTAAATATTATCTACTGTATGTAGACATGTACATATAATATCTGGGATATTAGCAGAGTAACAAACCCACGTGTAATTCTTCTCTGAATCTCTGTATATATTCACCAGTCTTTCTTTTTGTAAAAGGCACATACAGGCTGCCAGGCAGTGTTGATATTTGAGATTTTTAAATTGTACTAAATTAACGACAAAAACTGTAACATTTTGAACTTAATTGTACTTTTCACCATTTCCGTCAAAACATTACCTCCCGTTTTCCTTCAACCAAACATAAACCATATTTTTGTCTCCTACAGTAAGTTTACATATCTTTCAGTTCATTGTGCAGCTTCAGTAGCCCATAAACTCATAGCCAGTTTAGACAGAAAGTCCCACTAAAATTCATTAAGTTTACAGTTTAACTTCAGTATACACAAATAAATTCTTATGGCCTTATTCATAAAAAATAAAGTAGGTTTAAAGAGCTTTATAAATTGACGTTTTCATACATTTTTCAATTTATAAACCTTTTATAAAGCTACTTTATTTTTAATGAATAAGGCCATTAAATTATATTCCACATTTTAAAAAGTACACCCAGCGATAAAATTCTACGGTCACCTAGTTTGAGCTATATATTTACTTTTTTTTCAAATTAATTTTCATATTTTTTTTTTTAAGTATAGCTCATTGAAGAAAAATGTCAACAACGGTGTTGCGCATTTTCTTCCATATAAAATAAAATGCCAACATTCCTTATATGGAAGAAGGTGCGCAACTCCGTCAACAAAAAAAAAAGCCAAAAATCAATGGTATTTTTTAGACATTTCAAACTTGCACCTTTTATTGAATTTATAGCATTCAAAAATGTTTACCCAAAAAATTTCTACGAATTCTGAATAAAAACTGTGAAATTTTGATGAAAATTTGTTGATTTTTTTCAATATTTAAATCCGTGGTTTATTTCGCTTCGTTAGACAATGACCTCCACTTTTATAAAAAAAATTTAACTAATTAGAAAAAAATATAAAAAAATAGCCCAACCCGGGTAACAGTATAATTTTGTCGCGGGATATATATTCAAATATGAAGACAATAACTACAAAAAATTAATACAGAAGATAAATCAGTTTATATTAGGGAAAATAAATCACATAAAATGATATCAGTAACACTAAAATGGAAGCCCACAATAGAAATTTATAGTTTCAACGCATGAAATTTACGTAAAATTGTTTACTTTCAATCCCCGAATTATTCAATTACATACTTCATTTTCTGCTGCACCTTCATTAGGTAAACTGCATTTCCAAAGATTTTTTCAAAATAAATCGCGACGAGGAATATTTCATCCACCGGTGATAAAAAATCGCAATCACCACAACGCTCAACACTAACGCGCCCGTCACAATCACGTTTACTTTCAAAGTTACAACTCAGAATTTCGTTTTGTACCAAATATGAAATGTAGATATGTGTATTTACTTAAATGAGAACGTATTGATAATCAAAGTGCGGCAGAGATTTCAGAATTTTGTAAGAAAAGTATTTTTGATGTTGAAGTTGTACTTAAAAACAGTAAATTGTACTTTAGAAATATTCAAAACTAATTGTACTGAAAAAAGCACAATTGTACTTAAAATATCAACACTGCTGCCAAGACAAAGCGTACTGTACTCTATACGTTTACGAGTCTACTATCGGTAATAAAAAGAATATGGGGCACAAAAGCATTACTTCAGCGACTCTAAAACTCTGAACAAATTAAAGAACGCTACTGATGTTAAGACACTCAACTGCTCAATACCGACTTTAGCTTCCGAAAACAGTCTCACCGCGAGAACTTCGAGGCAAAAATTTCTTGAACGTATTTTTATATGATCTTATTGTTTGTTTTTCATTTAGGCTCAAAAGGAACATTATCCCAGTTGGGGTTATGATACTTTATAAGAAGTGACATAACCCCAAGTAAAAAAAATTGACTTTTTGCCACTATATAAGGAGTGACATAGTTCTAAATTTAAAATTGGGGTGATGTCCCTCGGGGTTATGTCATGGTACCAAGAAATGCTTTACTCGTACTGGCAGGTCATAAAGATATTATGGGGAACTGGGAAAAGGACAATATCAGGTCAATCGATAAATTGACCAGAAACTAGTTCCACGAAGAGGGGATAAATGCCACCATCGTAAAAGCCCAGGCTAAGATAACTTGCCTGGAGCTGGGAAGTCAAAGTTGATCTGTAAATCCAGCGTGTGGGTTAACACTGTCGGAGCTGTCGTGGCAAACAAAAACTCGAGAGCAGCGAACACTTTTTTAAGTTATCGAGTCTAGTCAGACGTTGGCGGCGGCGTCTACCTCAGTACCTTTTCGAGTGTCTGTCCAAGGCGCGTCGTTATAATAAAAACTGACTGGTTCTATTTCAAGTTAACTGGGCGGAATCAACATTGAGTCGAATGAACTTCACCGCAACCGACCCACTTAGGCCTAAGAGTACTCCCTCCGGAACCTGGATGAGGGCATCCACCAGAACCTGACCTAACCTACCAAGAGAGTTATACACTTTAGAGCAACATAATTGCATCTCGTTTCGTTTAATGAAAATTAGGTTTAGTATCATAAAATGTTTGGTTCATACTTCCTTTGATCATAGGCATCAAGAAATTCAAATTAGCATTTGTACTTGGATTAGGATTTCGGATGCAAGCTGGTATCTCTCTCCCTCTTGTTTTCCCAAATTTTCGCTTCATCAATCATTAAATTTTTTGTTTATTGATTGCTATAGGTACTTTGTTTTGAACATTCACTTTATGTCTACCTTCACACGGTTCTTCAGCCCCTTTATCACTGCAAAATTAAGTCTATATTGACCGCATTTTTCATACCCAATCCCACTACAGAGTAATTGTTTCCTGTACATATATATGTTTGTATGTAAATATAATTATCTTCGTGTAGTACTTATACTTGTTTTGTTTGTTGAATTCGTTAGATATACTGCTGAATGGGTCACAATAAATTTTTATGACATACCAATCTACTTATAACAAGGTTAGGGCTTCTTTTAAACCGACGAAGTGGCATTTCGTGAGTTGTCAATGGTCAAACTTGAAGCACGCAAACTCAGTGATGCCAATGACAAATTGCTGCGATATAATGGCTTTGGTGATGAATTCGCAGTCAACATTAATGCGGTACTATCGATATTTGGTGCTATACTGCTCAGACCATTGCAGATGATTGCTTTTTCGTTGGGATTGCCGACGACTACACCACCGTTCGCTGTGCAAAGTGGTGGAAGAATGTCAACCGTATCGACAGACAATAAACGATCAGCGCCAACTCCTTTGGCATTACAGCCAGAGCCACTGCCGTCACCCGGACCAGTACCACTCTCACTCCCACAGAGATGAAGGCGTGAATTCAATAGTTTATTACACGCTGGACATGCGCGAGAGGCGCCCTTTTCGCGGCGTCGCAACAGATCATGGGCACACCTGCAAGGAAGTATAGAAAGATACATGTATACTGAAAAAATATTTTGTATTTAAATGAGAAATTTAGAAAAATACTTTATGATGACCTGTAAAACATTTCAAGAGCTGTATTATCATAAAGTTAACGTGGCAAAAAAATTGAGTTTACTTTTGACTTTTGTAGTTTTTGAGCCTTAATTTTTGCCCTTGCTCGTAAACTACAATACAAAAGGATAACATTAACCCGTTATAATATATAACACCCACCAAATGTACTGAAACCGCTATAACTACTCGGGCTGATGTGAAAGAGACGCCAACGCACCGCCAAAGTTTTTTGTAGCCAGGCCTTCAAGCCAAGTTTTCACACATGGTGGATCATGTTTAATTGTAATGTAATTTTAGGAAAATTCAAAAAATTACTAACAAAAGCACAATAAATAGAAACAAGTAAGAGCAGCGCTGTCTTCGGCTATGCCGAAGGCTTCATACCTTTCATGAACATCTGAAAATATTACTTTAACAGATTACTGCATTTGAAAAAATGTATATATTCACGGCATACATACTTATATAGAGGAGATACATATATAAAAAATTATATCTAAACAATCAAAGGTATGAAAGATATACCTTATATAGCACCAAACTAAGTGATTTTAACTGCCGTGTGATCGGTATGTAAACCGGTAACACAATTTAAAGGGGTTTAGCTTCCAACATAAAGGAGATATATCGAAAAACTGGTATCTGAACAATCTGTGGTATGGAGGCAATAAATAGGTTATAGCGACCGGATCTTTGTTCATTTTACTGTAAACTTTCTATTGATAATGAGTGAAAATAGTGCGAAATTAATGTTTCTAGCTGCATAAATTGATAATTTATAACAAAAATCTCATATCTACCAAATCTTCACCATTTTCACTGTATTCTTTTGATGATGGGTGGAAATAGTGCGAAATTTCATATTCCCAGCTGCATAAATGAAGGAGTTATAACGAAATTCTCATATCTGAACAATCAGTTGTATGGGAGATATATGTTATAGTCACCCGATCTTTGTAATTTTCACTGAAAGTATTCTGTTAGTAATGAGTAGAACGGTGCGAAATTTCATGTTTCTAGCTGCATAAATGGAGGAGCTATGGTAAAAAATCTCATATCTGAATAATCAGTTGTATGGAGGCTATAGGTTATAGCAACCCGATCTTCGCCATTTTCACTGAAAGTATTCTTTTGATAATGAGGGACAACAGTGCAAAATTGCATGTTACTAGCTACTTAAATGGAGGAGATATAACGATAAATCTCATATCTAAACAATCAGTAGTATGGGAGCTATAGGTTACAGTGACCCGATCTTTGTAATTTTCACTCCAAGTTTTCTGTTGATAATGGGTGGAAGTATTGCAAAATTTCATGTTCTTAGCTACATAAATGGAGGAGTTATAACGAAAAGTCTCATATCTGAACAATCAGTTGTATGGGAGCTATATGTTATAGTGGTCCGATTCTTCCGGTTCCGATAAATGATTAATACAATATAAAAATACACCCACTTACCAAATTTCATCAGGATATCTCGAAAACTGAGAGACTAGATTGCATACAAACATACGGACAGACAGACGTACAGACGGGCATGGCTCAATCGACTCAGCTCGACGTTCTGATCATATAAGTCTACATTTTATTGGGTCTATCTCTTTTTATTCTGGTACTTACAAACATCGGACCAAAGTTATAATACCATTTCATGCTCATGAAAGGTATAAAAAGTACCTACCACACAAAGTAAGAAGGTAGAAAATTCACTACTAACATAAAATAAAATAAAATCGCGAATCACTGCTTTATTGGACTAGCAGCTAATTTTCATGAACGATTTTTAATTCACAGTGAAAAAATAACCGACAGTGAAACATCGCTCATCACTAAAAGGCAGTTAGAATTCTTTTTAAGAATAAAAATAAAATTACCCAGTTCCAACTCCCCTCATTAAATGTTGTCCTATTGAGTCTGGTGGGCGAAGACAAATACTTCACCTTCCTGAGCTTACCCGCCAGGTAATACCTGGTCTTTGCCCTAGGTAAAAAAATTCAAACTTTGTGTATACCGCAGTGTTCCATTCAATCATGTATTACCATGTCACACTATAAAGGATTTGCTTGAATGAATATTCGATAAGGTAGAAATTCATCAAGGCATATGGGGTGGCGTTCATGCCTATTACGGGATCTCTGCCTTCTACACCAACTAAGTGCACAATCTCCTCCCGGTATATGGCAGACTGCAAACTACTGACAGGCATAAAACACATTGCAAAATGGGGTACAAGTCCAAAAACTCTTGAGGAACTAGACTACTCTATTACAGCTATAGCATTTGACAATAGTTTCAATAGACGGATTCCCTCAGGTAACGAATGGGAAGATATTTTGGGTAATTTCGACTTGGCAAGGGTAGGACATCCCTTTGTGCCATAAATGCGGTAGTACCACTACCATCTTGTAAATTTTGGCTTTGAGCATACAACACATCTAAGAGGTTCAAGGATCTTGATTTCCTTGAATGCTTAATGGGGATACATGCCAGAAGAATAGGGTTTTGCAGGGAAAGACTACTGCCGCAGTTTTAGGATGAGGATATCGAGAACCTCGAACAAGGGATTCCAAAAAAATTTGTGTTTGCAATAACCAGTTTTTTTGTTGGAAATTTAAATTTTTCCGCTCTTTTTACAGAGCTGATTTTAAACGATTTTTGTTTAAAAAAACTATCAATTTCGACATATTTACATAGATACTAGTTGTAGTTCCGCCAAGAAGTCAATCTTTGTTTCTAGATTTTTCTTTATATCTCATCAAAAATAACAACTGTCGACTTAAGCATCAGAACCCTACCACTACCTACTGCCAAATTACGTTGCGGTTTAATCCACTTCGCTTTGCGTTGCATATCCTGCAGGTATTCTTTGCTCCATCGAGCCCAGAAATGCTGCTTCATGACTGTCAGACTTTGCCATTGATCTCTAAGACTGACCTTTGCTGGTTCTAGTAGTGGTTCCGCTAATACATCCGGTGTGCTACCAACCGGAAAATGAGCTGGTGTTAGCACTTCTTCGTCATTAGGATCGGCCGAACATGTGCACAACGGCCGCGAATTCAAAATCGCCTCGATTTCTGTGGTTATTGTGCACAACTCTTCGAACGTAAAGTGTGCATTACCCAACGTACGCGTAAGGTGGTATTTAGCCGATTTCACCGCCGCCTCCCACAGCCCGCCAAAATGTGGGGAGCGCGGCGGTATATGGTGCCATGCAATGCCCTTGACTGCGCAGAACTCGCTTATCTTGTGCTGCTGTTGTTGGGAGAGGAACATCTGTTTCCACTCTTGCATTTCTCGCCGAGGACCCACAAAGTTAGTGCCGTTGTCACAGTAAAGGTGGTGATATAAGCCTCTTCGCGCCACAAACCGCTTGAGCGCTGCCATAAACGCCTTTGTACTGAGGTCGGATACCACCTCAATATGTACCGCCTTGGTTGAAAAGCAAACCATGATCGCCAAATAGCTTTTCACAGTGCGCACTCCTCGAAGTCGGACGATGGTGAGAATAGGTCCAAAAAGTCAACACCAGTGGAGTAAAACGGCCTTGTTACTGCTACTCGTCTTGCTGGCAAATTCCCCATAATTTGTTCACAAAGTTTGGGCCTGGAATGAAAGCAAAGCAAACATTGGGTGGTGACTTGTCTTACCAGCCTTCTCGCATTCACCACCCAGCACTGCTGTCTCAATATTGACATCAACGCCTGCGTACCCACATGCATGTCGCTTTCGTGTAGATATCGTATATACCCTGAGGGGACAACACAATTGGAAACTTAGCCTCATATGGCAGTTGCGATCTTGCGAGCCGGCCTCCGACACGCATCATGGAAACTCCAAACCTCGATGCCAGGAACACACTAAGGTTTTTTAATTTGCTAGCGGGAGGTAATTCTTTGCCTCGCGCTAATTGTTTGATCTCCGTTTCAAAGTATTGCTGCGGTATGCAGTACATGATGCGCACCCACGCTTCTCTCAACAGCTCCGCTGTCAGCATCGGATCATCATCGCTGATAACCAAGGTCTCGCGATTGGTTTTGCGCCGAAAGAAGTATAACAGATATGCCACTTTTCGCTGTATCTGCCCAAAATTACTATGCGACTCCAACCAGAGCAGCACCTGATTTTTTCGATGCTCGATGGGTACTGCCACTACTCGCCTTTGTTCTATGTTTATTTCAGATGCGTCGCTCCGAAATCTGTTCGGTGGCCATTTGTCACACGTTTGTCTCAAAAACGCTGGGCCAGTAAACCAACAAGTCTCGATTAGCTCATCTGCATATGCGCCGCGAGATATAACATCCGCTGGATTACTTTTGGTTGGAACATGCCTCCATAGTGCATGTTTCGTCCTCTCTTGAATTGTTGCCACTCTGTTCGCAACGAAAATTGACCACTCCGATGGCTGCTTACTTAACCAATTTAGCACGATTTCGCTATCTGTCCACAAATAAATTGCATTCAACGAAACTGCCAAGTTTTCTTGGGTTTTGGTTAATAACTTTGCCAATAATTCAGCCCCAAGTAATTCCAATCGTGGAAGCGACTTAGTTCTTAATGGTGCCACTCTGGACTTGGCGCTCCACAGCGCCACCGTAACCTCGTCCCGCTCGTTTACGGTGCGAATGTACACGCATGCCCCATAAGCCCGCAGCGACGCATCACAAAATCCGTGTAATTCGACTCGTGCAGGACCATTTTTCGCCAAAATATATCTTGGTACTCGTATATCTTTGACCAAAGGCAAGATCCACAGATTCTGCAAAAAGATCTTAGCCTTTACGATTATGGGGTTTATCAGACCGAGAGGATCAAACAGACTCGCGATCTCCGCCAGCACAATCCGCTTTGTCACCGGTTTGTCCATTTTAAGCTCCGGCCAATCATAACGAAACACATCGGAAGTGGGCTCCCAT